AGGGTGGCTGGAGGGGTTTGGCAGGGTGTACGATACAAGGTTCTGGTCTCTATAATCAGAGGGGCCAGGTCCAGTTCAGCTCAACTTTGATTCCCTCTGCCTTTCACCTTCTTCCTTTCTCCTTTCCTTCCCCAATGTCCTCCCCTTCTCCCCCCTTCCTTTTCCCTGGGCACACCTGATAGCTGAAGGCTCACGAGTGAAGAGGAATTTTTCTGGAGAAACTCTGAGATGACTTTGGCCCCCTCAAAACCAAGAGCATTGTCGGAAATATTCTAAAACACAAGAAAACAGTTGCGTATGTACAAACCCCAATAAAGGGCCCTCATTAACAAATGATGTCCGAGTGGGGCTGACCAGAGACCTATATGCTAAGGGAGTAGGTTCTCAGTGGGGAGAGGGGACTGGGGTGAAAGGATGGGAAGGATCAGTGTGGTCCCGAGGAGAGAAGAACAATAGGAGGCCGGCTTTTCTGTTGCCTCACTGTGCGGCCCTTGAGCTGGTCTTAGTTTCTGAACTTAGCTTCAATCATGCCCCACCTCCCCAGCTGAGCTCTTAGTACTTTAGATAGCACATGGCAACTTTTTTAAAACCCAAGTCAGCTATATTTGAAGAGTTTGGCATAAAATAATTGAAAAAAAAATGAGATTAGAGTAAATAATCACTTGCCAATTCCATTCACTGATTCATGAAGCATGAATCGCTGTACTGGGAAGAGGTAGGGAGATAAATGGATATAGTCCTTGCCCTAGCTGGTTTGGCTAAATGGATAGAGCATCGGCCTGTGGACCAGAAGGTCCAGGGTTTGATTCCGGTCAAGGGCACATGCATGGGTTGCGGGCTTGATCCTCAGCAGGGGGTGTGCAGGAGGCAGCTGATCAATGATTCTCTCTCATCATTGATGTTTCTATCTAACTCTCCCTCTCTCTCTCTGAAGTCAATAAAAATTTAAACAAAATATGGACATAGTCCTTTCAGGCTAGTGGGAGGGATTTTATATACATTAGCCATTATTATCTTAATTTTTGCATCTTTTTATTGTGGTAAAATAGATATAACACAATGTTCGGCATCATAACCATTTTTCGGTGTACAGTTCAGTGGTCTTTAGTATATTCATATTGTTGTGTGACCATCACCATCATCTATCTCCAGGCACATTGTATTTTATGAAATTAGTTCATGTCTTTTTTTTTTTTAAAATTTTACTGTAAGGCAACTACACAGAAGTGAGTTCGTCTATTTAGGGGCTTATGAGGTCCACATAGAAATGGTTTTTTAGGGTTTCGTACAGCCACCAGGAGCACAGGCCCCCCTGGCCAGCCTCTGAGGTGTGACCCTCCTCTGAGAAGTCACTTCTACAGGAGAGGGGCCCCCAGACGCATTGCAGAAAGCCTGGAGGCTGGCCTGGGCTCGGGCAGGGGCCTCGGCTTGTCTCCAGGGGGCTCTGGGACCCAGGGTGTGGTGGTGGGAACCAGTAGAGCAGGCACAGTACCAGCTCCTGGAGGTAGTAGTTCTCTTGTAGCATCTCCACCAGGCTCATGATGCCGTCCTCCATGATACTGTTGTCTGCCAGCTCCAGGGTGATCAGAGTCGTGTTGGACTTCAGCCACGAGGGGTGGGGTGGAAAGACAGAGGTGGTTGGTGACCTAGGCAGGTCCCTGACTTTGCCCAGAACCTCCCAGCCATGCCACAGGGTATGGAGATGCAGGCCAGCAATTTTGGAGGAGTAGATAGGAACCGGAGAATGGGGCAGGAGATGAGCCATCCCACCAAGGCTAGGACAGTACAGATGGGCAAAGTAGGTTTACAGTTGTGAGCACTCGAAACAGTTTGTTCTTGTTATTTATTAACGATCGGGTCATTTATTTCTATTACAACTGTCAACCTACTTTTGTCCACCCCTGCATGCTGATATTTCATATTTACCTTTTAGATGCATATGTTCTAGGGCAATATGCTGATCCTGGGCCCCTTGACCCAAAGGGGCTCTACGGGGGAATTTGCAAGAGGAACATGAAAACAAAGCCCTGGAAAGTAAGAGGTCCAAGGATGAGCAGAACCCATTTTAATTATTTACTTAGCCTCGAGGAGAGAGGCCGGTGGCCTACTCCAAGATGAAGGAGAACTTGATGCATATAATATGAATATTTTAGCACAAGGCCTGAAGCAGGAAGCATTGCAGTGCCTGCTGCCTTGGGAAGCCTTTCTCGCAGGGTCGGCTCCGGGCACAGCTGGTACCCTCTTTTAGTTAGGACCCTGCCTCGGGCTATTTGGAAGGAGTTGGACTTAAATAAATATCTAGATCCAAGCTAGTCTGCATCCCCACAGGGAGGCAATGACTGGCATTGAAGCCTGAGGGATGGGGTTGGCGCTGACTGGCACTGTATTCCTCCCTTCCCCACGTGTACCCGGTGCAGAAAGGCACAGAGAGCAGACACATCCCTGGATGTGAGCATGTTCAAAGCAGGCCAGGCAGTGAGAGAAGCAGCAGGCGGCAAGGAGCTCTAGCTTCAGCCAAAGGGAGAAGGTGCTGGAGTGAGGGATGGTCTAGCACATGGTTACAAGGAGGGACAGTCCACGCAGGGCCTTCCTGCGATGTCTGTGGTCCCAGCTCTCTGGGAGGGGAAGAATTCCTTCGTGCTCAAGGTCAAGGGAGATGGCTCAGGGGGCTGCCCAGTCTAGGTATCATCTAGCAGAAACAGGTTAAAGGACCGCTCCGGAGTCACCCTGGGACTAGCACAGCGTGTGCTACAGCCGGCAGCCGGATCCCAAGTCCATCCACATTCATCCCACCCTCTGTGCTGAGTGCTGGGGGAACAAGACGAGCAGAGAACATCGCTGCTCTCCAGGCACCGAGTGCAAGGGCATGGGGCCAGGCGGTTGGGGAATAGAAGTGAAGCAGCGTGAAATAGGACCCTTCCTAGCGGGATGCCTTTGATCTACACCAGGCAAATCCAACATGTGAAAAGTTAAACAGCACAAAAGATAAATAAAACTTGAGTCCACCAGAATGTCACAGTAATTGTCAAGTGAGTGATACAGAGATTCAAGGAAGACAAAACTCCCTCCAAACAGGAACTACTGTCACTGAGAAACACATGGCCCAAGTCCTGAGAGGATTTCATTATTATCCTCCGCCCCCCCCCACGCCCCCACCCCCCGCCATGAAGCTCAGGAGGTTATGATGCATTCCTAACACGACATGAATCAGTCTTTTAATGCTCAATAAATTTCAAGATGGCTTTGTTCTCTCTCTGCTCTTCCCTTCCTTTCCTCCCCCTCCCCAGAAAGCAGCACAACCTCACATTTTATGTAACTTCTTAGTGGGCATGAGCTAAATGCAAATGCTCTTGCATTTCCAAAAATGAGTGAGTGCTTTTTCTTTTATTAATCGAACTTGCCCTTTACTGTCCTAAGTGAACAAACGGTGTAGTGCTCACGTACAGCTGTTACATTCTCTGTTTTCCTGGGACGGGAATCAGCTCCGTACATAATCAGTTAGGAGTATAGAGAGCTATGATGAATTCAAGGGCAAGTGCTTGTTCGCCCATGCCAAGCCCAGGGAGAACATTATTCCTTTGGGAAAACCTGACCCACTCTACAGTGTGATCCTTAAGGATCATAACGTTGCGAAAGGCAGACCCTGAATGGAATGGCTCAGGAGTGAACCCACTTACAGCAAAGGTGAGCTCTGGGATTGAGACCCAGGCTGACCTTGTGTACCATGCTCTCAAATTAGCACCCAGCCCGGCCACTTTTCCGGGCTGGTGCCTTTGTTTCCCAAAGAGGAAAGAGCACAAACTTCCAAGGCCCAGGTCTCTAGCAGCCTCCTTCCCAGGACCTATTGGGGAGTCCCTGACTGTTGGGAAAATGGGCAGTCCAGCCGAGCCTATGGCAGGGTGGGCATCCCAGATGCAATTTAGGGTCCCCCCCCACCTCTGCCAGGCTTCATGTGCCTCCACGGGCATGCTCACCACCAGGGCAATCGCAATGGCCTTAGTACCGTGGGGGCCCAGCCCGTGGTGGTTGAGGTTCATGTAGGACTCCTCCATGTTCCGGATGAAGTAAGAGACAGGCACTACGCCCACCAGTTTGCAGGCCTCCATGTACAGCTCCTTTTGCCCGGTGGTGAAATATTTCTCAGTATCTGCAGAAAAAGATGTGAATTCTCTTCTGCCTTTGCCTTATCTCTTCTGACACCAGGCCATGTTCCCTTCTGATCTGTCCCTTGGGTGTCAGTTAAGAGGGCAGCTCCAATTGGGAAGTCAGCCAGCAGTGGGAGGGAGACTCGCGTCCAGAAAGCCTCAAATGGGCGTTCTCCCTTTGGGATGACACAAACCCCTGCGGTTAGGCCCCAGGCTCCCCTAGGAGAAGGAGCCCCACCAGCTTCCTGGGTTGGCCGTGTCCAGGAACTGATCACCCAGGGTGCAGGAAGGCCTAGTCTCCCCTTGGGGCAGCTCTGAAAAGCCAGATGAGAAGCTGGTGATCTGTGATGGTTGAGGGAGTCTCCATTTCCCTTTTAGTTTTGCTACCACTGTTAAGATGTGAGCCATAACCAAAGCATCACTGATGACTTAGAGAAGTACCAGCTTAAAAAGCCCACGTAGGGCCCAGTAGGCTTCTCACGGGGGCAAATCAGGGCAAGATGGAGAGACCCCCAAATGATCCAGAAACAAGGAAACTTGCATGTGAGTCGGCTTTCCTCTTTCGCAGACTTGCATGTCATTTTTTTCTCTAAAAAGATCGGTGATCCCTACTTTCCCAATGACAAAGTTAGCCCAGATTACACACAGTGCTCAAGCCAGCTGACAGACGAGGCCTTCACATCTCCATTCCAACCTCCTGGAGCCTTTGTCTGAAGGCTTTAGACAGCCTGGCCTGTGGGCAGCAGGCAGTGGGCAGTGGGCCTGCCTGGATGCCGATGTCCCACTGGCAAGATGTCCCAGGCCAGCTGGGGTCTAAGCCTGTGTCTGTTTTTCCTTCGGATCCCAGGGCCTTTGGCCAAGCCACCCCAAACGTTTCTAAGGCGGATAGTGAGAGCTTTGTTGGTGATTAGACAGCAGCTTGACAAGAAAGTTGCTTTTGCAGACACAGCTTCACACTGGCCTTCTCTCTGCGATGGTTATAGAGCAGGGTTTCTCAACCTGGGCACTACTGACCGACCGATCGACACTCAGTGTTGGGCGTTTCCCGCTGTGAGGGGCTGTCGTGTGCAGGGCAGGAGATGTAGCAGAGTCCCTGGCCAGTAGCATCCCCCCAGCCCAGTTTGCCAAGTATTCCCTGGGTGCAAAGTCACCTCTGAGGGAGAACCATGCTGGCTGCATAGGAGAAACAGCATGAGGTGGCTGAGCAACTTCAGCTCCCTTCTCTCCCTCTTTTGCTGCCTCACACCAGCTTATATTCCCACGGGCTCCTGTCTCAGGCCCTCCCGGGAAGCCCTCCCTGCCCCGGTCCCAGCTTCTCAGCCCCAGCTGCAGGGGCACCAGGAGTGGAGCCACTCTCAGCACAGAGCTGGCACCAAATGTAATCATTAGGGGTTCTCCTTTGCCAAAGCAGCATAGGGAGCCCCCAGCTGTGTCCCTGGCACTGATTCTGCTCTGTCTGATTCTGCTGACCCCTTCCAGCTGTATTCACTGTGGTTGTATTTTAGGGGCAGCTTGCAATGCTATTACCACTTGCAGGGGGTGGGGGTGAGGAGAGGAATGAGTAGAAGCAGGGGTTCCGCATCTTCCAACCGTGAAACATTCAGTGTTGAAAGCAACATTCACAACGGACTTGAAGTGGAAAAGTAGAAAAAAGAGCAACAACCTATAAATAAATTTAAAAAAAGAAAGAAAAGGAAAAAAGAGTAAAAAAAGAAAGAAGGAAAGAAGAGAGAATGAGAGAGAGAGAGAGGGAGAGAGAGAGAGAAGAAAACAGAGCCACAAGAAGCCCAGGGGGGCAGGGAGCAGGTCTGTGTGCGGGGTGAACAGTATGTTGACCTTGGCGGGGGTGAGGAACTGACTGTATAGAGGAATTTGACGGTTGAATTTGGCAGAACAGCCTCGCCTGCGTTTCTACCGCCTCTGATCACTGCCCACCACCCAGCCGTCAGGACACAGGAGAGAAAGGGCCCCTGGGCTGGCCTCAGCGGGAGGTGTGAGGCTGGCCCAGCAGGAGGGGCCGGCATTGTTCTCGCCTTGCTTCACATGTGTTCTTTGTGGCACTTCCCTTGTTGGGGAGGCTGGGAGGAAGAGGAAGAGGAAGAGGAAGAGGAAGAGGAAGAGGAAGAGGAAGGTGGAGGGGCTGTTTGCAGTAACAGAGTCTTTGCTGCAGCTGAGACAGTCCCCCACCCTCACCCCCCACGGCCATGCACTTGGATTTGTCAGGGGCTCTCACGCAGGGGAACACAAACTCCAGTGTGAGGAGAGGAACGTCACCAGGATGCAGGTCGGGCCACAAACACGCCAGTGGCCCCTGGGATATGGAATGCTGGAGGCAGATTGGCAGGGTGGGGTGAACTGGGCGTCAGCAAGCCTTGGTAAGCTCTCGGTGGCCTTGGGCAACTCACACAATCTCTTTAAGCCTCAGTTTCCTCCTCTGTCAAGGCAGGTAATATAATGCCTCCCTCCTGGGGCTGTGGCGAAGGCGACACAAGATGCCACGTGTGGAAACATTGGGGACGCCAGAAATCCCCGCTCATTGACTGGTCCAGCATTCAACAAGCTGAGGTGCCCACGCGGCTCACCCGCCAGGCCCCACGCCTGGGGAAGCCAGGTCTGTCCCCCCTCCCCTCCGAAAGCCCACTTTCACCTTCGATCTCGAGGTCTGTTTCTGAACTCTCCCGGGTGGGTTTCCCTTTATCCGAGGCCGGGGCGGCTTCGGCCTCACAGTAGAGCGTTTCATCACTGCTATGTGGTGTCGCCTGGGTTCCAGTCTCCTCTAGAAGAAAAACGCATCTCCGTGATGTTGGAAATGAAACCCGCCAGCCTTTCAGGTGGAGCCACTTCCGCTTCCCTCCACCTCCATTTCCTCCTCTATCTCCCAGCTGCACGTGGCTCCAGACACCAAGGTCTCCATTCTGCAAGCCCTTCCTCCCCAGCACTGCTGCCTCCCGCCCCCAGCATCCGTGGGGTCACATGCTACCCCTCCTCGTGTTCTCTGGAGACTTGCTGACCTATTCCCCGCTTTGGGCCTGACTCGGACATTGGCTTCTTGCTCTCTCTTCTCTTTCTTACTGGTTTGGGTGGGGTTCAGAGTTGCTTTACTCTGAATGATGGTGAAGGCCACGGGCAAGGCAGGCAACTCGGTCAAAGGTAAAATAAACCGGAACAGAAGCGTCTCAGGAATCGAGAGGGATAACTGGATTCCTAAGAATTTGACCTAGTGTCTCCTCCTTTCAACCCTACATCTATTTCATGACCACGAAGAAGGCAGGGCTTGCAAAATCCCCCTGGGGTTAAATTCATTGCTATAATTAAATACATGTGTCCCTCGCTTCCCTCGCTTGCTAGACATGGATTTTCTGCCACTGGGCCAGTGATCAGGGACCAGCTGAGGGTTCCTGACAGCTACACACAGGTGTCCAGAGCTCATCCTATATCAGCGGGAAGCAGTGGTTTGGGGAAGCCAGGCTGCACTGCCAGGTGGCCTGTCAGAACGTAGCCAGCCTATCCTTCGGGTGGACTGAGCATCGGTGGCAGGGGTCCTAAGTTTTGACCACCCTTATTCTAAGACGGGAGTTCCTAATGGGTCCACACAGGTCTGTGTCTTTCTTAGTCCTTGTCTATAGACCCAAGCCCCAACCTTTATTTCCCAGCCTGTAAGGTAAGGTCTGTGTAATAAGGGGTGGAAGTAGCTAGTGGCCTGGTAGTTAGAAGACATACAGCAGATTAGCCAGAAAATTTAGCTATCCAGAAGTGATGACTTTCTGAGCCTTAATTTCCTCAGTAGTCAAACAATTTTAGAATTCCATCCAAGCTGTGGAACGCTGGTACATGTCTAACTGGCTCTCCAGAAAAAAAATTCTGATGTGTAGTAATGGCCAATTCCAGTGGTGTAAATGTTCCCGACATGGGTGATTTCAAACTGCCAACATGATGTAGAGCAGCTCAAAAAATGAAATTCAAAGTCGGCTAGAGCTGGTAGGAGCCAATTCTAGCACAACATGCATTCAACGCTCTCACTCCCTGTTTGGCAAGTCCCGAAGCCAAGTCAATGTAATACATCATCCCAAATCTAGAGGGTCCCAGGTAAGAAGGGCACTAGGTTTCTGGGTCCATGTGATCACTGGGTATTACACTGAGGTGGCCCGGAAGGGCTGGAGTGGTGAGAGATGGGATGCCTTTTCACCTGTTGTCTCAGGCTCAAGAGGTTCATCATTGTCCATGGTGCCAGGGGCCTCTTGGGGGCTGCTGCCAGCTTCTTGTCACCTTTCTGCTGCTTCCCTAAGAAGCACACCTGTCCATTCACCTCGGTCTCAAACTTTGTGCTCTCTGCTCTCACATAGACAAATCTGGAGGCGTGTGGTTATCTTTCTATCCCTGCAAGCCCTGGGGAGAGTGGGCTTTGGTGGGAATTGGGCATGTATGGATTTGACCCCAACTCTGGAAGAGATGATTCCCAGAATCATCAGGGAGAGTGGCACAGCTCAATTCCTGGGAGCCCTGTCAAAAGGATGTCCATCTGCCTGCAACTTTATGACTTAGGAGCCACTTTCATTTCATCGGCAACATTCCATGACCTCATGCAGACATTGTGATCCATGTGAGTGGACCTGGTAACAGCAAGTCTGCCACCCTCTTGGTGGCTCTGACAGTCATCTTTTTTCATATGTCTGCTGGGACCAAGCTAAGGCTTGGCTGTGATTACGAAGGTGCTGTGGGGGTGCCTCTCAGTGGTGGTGTATTTCCCTCTGAGTCAGGACCAAACCCAAGCCCCTCAATCAGGTGACTGTGAAGAGCTGCCACCATGTTCTTCTCTCAAGGTGGTTGTGCTTCAGGTACGAAATATTTCAGTGATGGGTGAAGTCTGTTTTCTTCTACCCAGTTCTCCTTCCTTTGTTCTTTTCCCCCTTGGGAGAGTATCCTCAATCTTGAAGCAGAAGATCTAAAGCAAAGCACAACAAACATATGTTCTATCACTACAATTTGTTGCAGCCAAAACCTTTGTTCAATCCAAACTACTGGGCTGCCTAACTTGAAACCACTCAACCATCATTCCCACGCGTGGCTGTATTCACGTTCGTTGGAGTTGAAGTTCACTTGCAGTTTACTGTCAAGAGACTCTGGAGGCATGTTTGTTCCTTCTTGATAAGCTTTCAGCACATCAACGTTCAGGTCAGTGACTACAGGGCTCAGGGACATGAAAATGCCTCTTTGCCACTCAGAAGAATGATGAAGATCTAGGAATTTGTGTAGGGAAAACATAGATCCTGGGATCAAAAGAAATATGTAAATCTGAGATGTTAGTCATTTCTTCAGGCATTCAGTCTGAAAAATATAGAGCAAGGCACTAAGATAAGCACCATAGTGGGGAGGGGATGCAGACATGATTAACATGGAGCTTTCAGGGTGTATTATATAACAAGAGAGAAATTGACAGGGCCACCTCTAGAGTGTGAGGATCCTGGGCAAATATTTCTGGCAGAGCTCCTGTTCATATAAACAACTCGAGTCACCCTAAGTAAGCATGGTGATACCATTCTAGCGGTCCAATCTCACGTGGTTTCTTGAAAGATATATCAAACAGGCCAAGGGAGTGATCAACTCCTGGCATAATGTGGTAGGCAGCAGTCATGGAGACCCTCGGATCATCTGGTCAACCCCACATTGATGGAAAGGATAAGAAATTGTCCTGGAAGGAGAGAAATTGGGACTAGAGAGTATGTAGGTCTTAGTCTAACCTCTGGACAGGACAAGGTGGTCTTAGGTACAAAAGGCACATTAGAAAATTTGGAGGAAGGCATTCCAAATAGCCACTGGGCACAGACACTGCTTGCCTAAGAGCAGTACTGGGAATTGATGAAGGGGATATTCTCCAGGAGTTCAAGGAGGGTGAGGTTTCTTTATGCTGGGGAGCATTCATGGGCTCTGGACAAGGATAGTTTGGGGGAAAGGCTTTTGGACAAGTAGAGTCTGAGGGAAAGACTTTTATATTAGGTCTATGATCCATTAAATTTTTTTATCAGGGTACTAACATAAAATCTACAATTTGACCCTATTAAAGTGTACAATTCAGTGGCATTAAGTATATGCACAATGTTGTGCAACCATCACCACTATCCATTTCCAGAACATTTCCTATGACCCATTTTGAATTACTTTTTGTATAAGGTATGAGGCATAGGTTGAGATTCATTTTGCATGTGGATGTTCAAGTGCTCCAGCACCATTTGTTGAAAAGACTGTCCTTTCTCCATTGAATTGCTTTTTTTCACCACTGTTAAAAATCAGTTGACTATAGGCATTCTTTCAGTTTTTTGTGGGGCTGGCATTTCAGAAACCATATAACCAGCAATGTGATGCATTATCTATCAAAATATTGTACGGTGGTTCCTCTTATCCACAAGGGCTTAGTTCAAGATCCCCAGTGGATACCTGAAATCGTGGATGGTACTGAACCCTACATACTGTTTTCTCCCATATATACATATATACATACATACATACATATATACATGCATATCTATGATGACATTTAATTTATAAATTAGGTACAGTAAGAGATTTACAACAATCCTATATAATAAAAGGCTAATATGCAAATCGACTGAATGGTGGAACGACCAGTCACTATGACGCACACTGACCACCAGGGGGCAGATGCTCAACGCAGGAGCTGCCCCCTAGTGGTCAGTGTGCTCCCACAGGGGGAGTGCCACTCAGCCAGAAGCCTGGTTCATGGCTGGCAAGCGCAGCAGAGGTGGTGGGAGCCTCTTCCACCTCCGCAGCAGCACTAAGGACCCCTCAGGGGATGTCTGCCTGCTGGCTTATGCCCACTCCCTGGGTCCTGGACTGCGAGAGGGCGCAGGCTGGGCTGAGGGACCCCCTCTTCCCCAGTGCATGAATGTCATGCACCAGGCCTCTAGTAACTAATAATAAAATAGAACAATTATAACAATATACTATAATAAAACTTATGTGAATGTGGTCTCTCTCAAAATGTCTTCTTGTACTGTACTTACCTTCTCATGATGATGTGAGATGATACAATGCCTACATTAGATGAAGTGAGGTGAATGACATAGGCATGGTGACCTAGCATTAGGCTACTGTTAACCTTGAGGAAGGAATGTCTAGGCTGAGACCTGAAGGTCCATCAGGCAGTAACTAGGTGAAGGCAGAGAGATGGGGTAGGCTCACTGGGGGAGGAAAGGTATTTGAGGGTGAGAAAAATATATACAAAGTCCCTATGGCATGTTGAAGGAGTCTCAAGTTGTTTAATGAGGCTGGAGTGTGATTCTCATGGGGGGAAGTGGTGGTGGGAAAGAAAAACAGAGATGAGATGGGAGGTGAGCAGAGGCCAATAATGAAGGGCCTTTAATGCTATGCTGAAGAGTCTGGCCTGTATTTGAGAATTGGGGGATGGGGGAAGGCTTTAAGCAGCAGTGTGACCTGACATGACTCACATAGCAGGGAGACTGCTCTGGCTGCAGGGTCAAGAGTGGATTGAAGACAGGAAGAGGAGCAACATCAGTTAAGAGTGGCTGCAGGGATGAAGTGGACTGAATGAATATAAAGGCCAAACTACTTGGACTTGGGGGCAGATCAGATGTGAAAGTGAAAGGGGAGATGTAAACGCAGGAGGCCAGATGGATGACTGTGCCATTCCTAAAGAAAAGGACAGAGGAGCCAGGGCAGCGGTTTTTTGGGGGATGGTGGGGGAAGGTCATGAGTACTACTTTGGGTGTGTTGAATCTTGGATGTGTCCCTGGGAAGTCCTATGGGAGATCCATAGGCAAGAGGATTCATGTGTCAGTAGCTCAGGAAAAGGTTAAAAATGTGGATGTGGGAGTTGTCAGTATGCGGATGGTACTTGAAGCCATTGGAGTGGTGAAAATTTCTCCAGGAAGAACTTTAAAGAAAGAAGAGGAGAGAGGCCAAGGATAAAATCCTAGGAACACCATCATTGAAAGGAGGAGGGCGGGGGTAGGAGGAACAGAAATAAAAGACACTAGGACAAAATGTCCAGAGAATTAGAAGGAAAACAATGTCACAGAAACGAAGGGAAGAGAATCTTACAAAAAGGAGGGGGGGGGGGAGATGCAAAATTACAGAATATTCAAGAAATAATAAAGCCTGGAGAATGTCCATAGAATTTAGCAACAAGGAAGGCATTGTGGAAGCTATATTTAATGGAATGGAGGTGAATGAGAGGTGAGGAAGTATAGACAGCAGGAACAGAAAACTCTTTGAAGAAGCTTGGCTGTGGAGGAGAAGTGAGGAGATGGCGGGGTGGCTGGAGGGGGACAAGGGCTGAAGGAGGGTTTCATAATATAGGAGCAATTTGAGCAAGTTTAAATGTTGATGGAAAGAAGTCAGGGAAGAACAGGAGAGGGGTAAACAGAAGGAGCACAATCTCTGAGAAGGCAGGAAGGAGGGGACTCCAAGCCTGGTGGGGTTTTCAGTCACTGTGTTGGGAGGGAAGGAAGAACAGTTGGCTGTGCCTGCCAGTCAGTGTGTTGGTGTGGCAACCGGGAGTAGAGGGACTTCACTTGGTGGGTCTACTTTTTCTCTAAAGTTGGTAGGAGATGATCTCCAGAGGAGCAAGGAAGGGCGGCAATATGGCAGCAAGTTTTGTGGGAAATGGAAGAGAAACCGAATTAAGAACCCAGGGATTGCTGGGGTGGGTTGAGGGCTGAAGTGAGGTTGGAGCCCAGCCCCACTAATAGCTGCAATCTGTTGGTAATTTTACACACCAGTGCTCAGCAGCCCAGATGTAAGAGCCAAGGAGAAGAATGGCTTTACTGAACCTGGGCAGGTGTAATCAAGGAATGGTGGGCAAGAAAATTGATATTGGGATGAGAGCGATTTAAAGGATGCCTGAGGGGGATTGAAAGGTGACTAAGGGGAAGCTTGAGGGCAGAACAGAGAACTCAAGGGTTTGATGGAGTTAAAGAACAGTGTGCAGAAGTGAAACTGGGAAAGGCAGAAAGCCAAGGGGTGACCCATCAGAGGGGGTTTGTGAATTTATGATTTCAGAGGTGGAGCAGTACCCAGTAATGACACATCATGGGTGTCTAAAGTACAGTGGGAATGAGGTCAGTGAGGAGGGGTGACAGTGAGCTTCTAGGATTTGAGATGGCTCATCCGCATTAGTAATGGAGGGAGGACTGGAGGCAGGGAATACTGTGAGTCTAATAGTAGTGTCTTTAATGAGAGAGGAGGAATGAGGTCAAGAAAAGACAAGGGTGAGGTAAACATTGATGAGTACTTGAGAAATCTCTAATGAACACATGACACATGAATCAGTGAGTAAGGGAGTGAATGAATGCATCAGCTTAGACCGATCTGGTATATTCTGGGAATATCTAGACATAAATCCTGAGATGCCAGAGGAAACACGGGGCTCAGAGAAGGCAAGTTACTGGGAGTGTATGGGTCTCAAGTTATCATAGAGTTAAACATAGACAATTCTTTTCTACCTATCCTATTTAGGAGGCTGTTTGAGTCCTCTACACCTGCACAGGTTCAATATGATAGTCACTTACTGTAACTACTTGAAATATAGCTAGTCTGAATTAAGATGTGCTGTTCACCTGAAACACATGTTGGATTTCAAAAACTTAGCACAAAGAACTTTTTAAAAAACTACTTTTAATATGTTTTCACTAGAGGCCTAGTGCACAAAATTTGTGCACTCAGGGGAGGGAGGGGGTCCCGGGGGAGGGTGCCTCAACCCAGCCTGCAACCTCTCGCAGTCAGACATCCTTAGCGCTGCCACGGAGGCAGGAGAGGCTCCCACCACCACTGCTGCGCTCACCAGCCATGAGCCCAGCTTCTGGCTGAGCGGTGCTCCCCCTGTGGGAGCGCAATGACCACCAGGGGGCAGCTCCTGCATTGAATGTCTGCTCCCTGGTGGTCAGTGTGTGTCATAGTGACCAATCTTTCCGCTGTTCCGTCGATTTGCATATTAGGGTTTTATTATATAGGATTGATTTCAGACAGAGGAAGGGAGAGGGAGAGATAGATAGAAACATCAATGATGAGAGAGAACCATTGATTGCTTGTCTCCTGCACATCTCCCCACTGGGGATCAAGCCTGCAACCTGGGCATGTGTCCTGACCGGGAATTGAAATGTGACCTCCTGGTTCCTATGTTGACTCTCAACCACTGAGCCACACCAGTTGTGCCAAAAAAATATTTTCAGAACATAAAATATCTCATTTAAAAATGTTGATGACATGAGCTTCATGTTAATTTTTTTGGATATATGGGGTTACATATATTAAAATTAATGTCACCTACTTTTTTCTTTTTATGTGAGGCTACTAGAAAATTTTAAGTTACATATCTGCTTCACATTATATTTCTCTTGGACAACACTACTCTAGGCCTTGGTCAGTAGCCTCTGAAATCCCTAGGGAAGCATTATGCCACCTTGTGTAGTCAACCAATGGATTAATAAAGGCAGCTCTCTTGTCAAATTTTCCACACGTACCTGTTGGCAGAGTAAAATTTGAAAGCTCAAAGCTTAAATTTCTTATATACAGGAAATTTGCCTCTGAAAGAACATTTTAAATTCCTCAAAGTATTGCAAAACCTTCCACTTGCCCCATTAGATAGGTCTGCACCCTTGAAACCACTCAATGGTGGACACAGATGGTTATCATTGCTTCCACTGTTATCACGGGGGGGGTGAACTGAGGGGCTCAACGGTCTCTCTTAGAATATTTCTGACATCATGAGGCTGCAGATGGTGTAGGTCATACTTGTAATTTTCCTTTGATGGGGAAGCCTGTGTCTGCACTTCTCTAGGCCAAGTCTTGGAATCTGTAGTCATGGCTTGCTTAGCAATGCCATATTGCAGTCTGAAGGGCCCTTATTTCTGCCAGGGATTATAGAAGATGACCCTCCATTATCAGTAGCCAGAGGTGTTTTTGGCTTAAATTTAAAAAATATAATAGTAAACATTGAGAGCTTACCCTGGGCTGAGCACAGCGAGGTAACTAAGGCTCCAAGAGGTTAGGGTAACCTGAGAAGTTCCAAGGGTAGAAAGTGGCAAAGACAGGATCTGCGTGCAGATGGTCCAACTCCAAAGCTTGTGATCCTTACATCATCCTACTCTTCCCAACAGATCGGATTATGGATCAGGAAACAAAAGGAGGCCAGCCGTTCTCCATTGGCCTCAGGAAAAGCCTTTGAAAGAACATGGCATCAATTAGCCTGACACCCTTTACCCATACCTGCAATGAATAGCCCAGCTGAGGCTAGATCCTTCTGCAGAGGTTCCCAAAATGTAACCAGAATAACTTGGTCAGTTTTTAAGAGCTCCACCTCAGACCTGAGTAGGACCTAGGAGTTTTTATTTTTAAGACATTTTCCAAGTGGATAAGGAAACCCTAATTTCACAAAATGATAAAAATAGTCTCTAGATAAATACTTTGATTTATGGCCTGGTTTGGAACTTGGATTTCTGGGTAACTATTGGGGCAAAATGGCAGGAAGGTACAAGGAAGGGCTATTTAAGCCACATCAAAGGCGTGGGCCTGACTTTGGGGGACCCTTAGGTAACATTTGTGTACTAGTTTCTAAACCTTCAGATTGCTCCTTGGGCTTCTGCTTCATGGGAGGCCAAGGCAGGCGTGCTGTTGCCTGAAGGCACACTTCTCGGAGCTAAGGGAAAACAGCCAGAAAGCCACAATACTGACTCTTTCCTGCTTCCTCCTTCTAGCCTTTCAGTGTAATGATGTATCCAGCTGGTCCTGGATCTGGTGACTCCCCAGAGGGCTTCCCAGAACAACCGAGGCTGCAGCCACAAATTGGAAACTGCACAGCTCAGACACTGGGTACTGAAACTGGTAGTATGTATAGTCCTTCCTTCTTCGGTTGGTTGGAGCAGAAGACAGAGGTTGCAGAATGGGGAAGAGAGATGCACAGAGGTCTTTGGGTAGCATAGACTTGCTAGGGGACCTGGCCTTCCTTTCATGACTTTGTTCAGTCAACAAAGATGTATTTAGCCCTACTATGTGCCTGACACTGTTGTACACACTAGAGAAATACCTCAATGAAAACCAGCCAACCAACCAACCAACCCAGACTTGGTCCCTGCCTGCCCTTTGGAAGCCCCCCTCTCCCCCTTCCTTGACTCCCTTACCAATGGGACGCCCCCTTTTATCTAGATCAGGTATAAAGAGGATCCATTTGAAACAGGATGAGGAAGGAGACAAAGGTGTGGACTCGGCTTGTGACCTAGAATCTGAGCTGGAGAAGACGGTAGGGTCAGGAAAAAGAGAAACATGGAGAATCGCTCTTTCCTCTCTCTGGGCTGAGAAGGGTGAGATTACAGAAACCAGGGCTGGGTGCGGCCTTCGGGAAGCCCAGCCCCTCCCTCGGTTTACAGATGAGAAAACTGAAGGGCGGAGAGGTTACAGGGTGGACCCCAAGTTAGGGGGCGGGAGTGGGAATAAAATCGTGTCCTCTGGGTAATACTAGGGAGCCTCCAGCTTGGCGCTCATCTGAAACTCCTGCGCTTTCGCGGGCCTCCCGGAGCCAGGTCGCGTCCATTGCCATGGGAACAGGCCCTGCCCCCGCCTCCGCGTTTCCACGGCCCCAATAAAGTTGTTGTTGAAGCTCAGCGGGACCACGTGAGCCGCCCGGGGCGGAGCTGGGGGCGGAGCCTGAGGCGGAGGCGGGGCCGAGCTGAGGCGACCGGCGGCTGCAGGAGGAGGGAGGCGGACGCCGCGGGGCGGCCGGCCATGATAGCGTCGTGCCTGTGCTACCTGCTGCTGCCGGCCGCGCGCCTCTGCCGCGCCCTCTCCCGCGCCCTCTCAGGTACTGGCCCCGCGTCCTTGCAGGCGGGAGCCGGGCCGGGCAGGCCCCGCGGGCCGAGGGGCTTGCGGCGAGTCGGGCCTCACGGCCACCTTCCCAGGCAGCGGCCAGGTGTGGGGGCGGCCCTCCCCCCGGAGCCGGTCCCGGACTCCAGGCGGCGCAGGCCGGCCAGCGACCCTCGCGGGCGGCCCCTACTCACGCTGGTTGCGTTGGGCCGCAGTTAACCCGGAGGCGGGGCCGGGGAGGGCAGAACCGCCCCTCCCGGGCCGCGGGGTGCAGGAGGTTCCGGGGCCCGCCGATCCCTGCTCTGGGGGGTCGGAAAGGGTTGGCAACTCCGTTCTCTGGGTGGGAGCCTGTCGGCCCTGGGTCAGCTGCTGGAGACCTGGGCGCACCTGTGGTCCCAGGTTCAGGCCGCACTCACTTTCCGCAGCTCCTCTCAGCTCTGCTCCCCGTGGAGGCTCCGGGTGAAAGACGAGCTCAGAACCCAGAGCTGCATTTGCAGCAGCCTCCGTGCGCATAGGGAGGTAGTGAGATGGACGGAGGCAATGCCCCGCGGACACTCAGGAGGGAGTCTCACTTTCCACGACCCGCCCGCCCCTTTTCATTCCTGGTCTTTAAATGCCCGAAGATTTCTCTGCCAGTTGGGGGGCGGGACAGGCTAGCAAGCATGTTCTTAGAAATAAGGGTCCGACTGTGCATTCTGTGCCTCCCCTTTCGCAGTGTGTGTGTGTGTGTGTGTGTGTGATTTATATTAGGTAACATATGTGTATTTCGTATGAGATGTTTGTTTCTGTCTGCTTTTAGAATGCAAGCACCAGGAGGGAGGGTGGGCTCACACCTGTTTTGCTAGCTGTGTCAGTGCCTCGTGCACTCAGAATATACACTGAGTGGCCAGATTATTATGATCACCCCATCAGTATAATGAAGTGAATTAGTTATGCAAATAATAATAATAATAATAATTATTAACCTTGAGAGTATTTGCTTAGGAAGTTTCCAATATTCAGTATTTTTGGAAGTGTCAATGAAGTACTGACAGGGTGGTCATAATAATCTGGCCACTCAGTGTAGTGGGCATGTGATTTAGGGATGGCCCAGGTGTAGGCACTTCTGAGGAATGAGATTCTCCACAGAAGTAATTGTTTTCAGGGAGCCAGAGAATATTCCTTCAACCATGCTCTGTCATTCTAGACCAGTGGTTCTCAACCTTGGCTGCACATTAGAATCACCTGGGAATCTTTTTATTTTTAATTTTTATTTTTTTATTGTTTTATTGCTTAAAGTATTACAAAGAGTATTACATATGTCTCCTTTTTTTCCCTGCCCTTGACAATCCCCCGGCCTCCCCTACCCCCCAGTGTCTTATGTCCATTGGTTATGCTCCTGGGAATCTTTTTAAAATCCTGATTTCTGGGCCCCATCCTCCGGAAATTCTGTTTCTTTGTTACTAATGTTGTGGCCCCACCCCATAACAAAGAAACAGAATTTCCGGAGGGTGAGGCCCAGAAATCAGGATTTTAAAAAGATTCCCAGGTGATTCTAATGTGCAGCCAAGGTGGAGAACCACTGGTCTAGACAGACGTTTGAAGGGATCTCAGAGGAAGGTCCACCCCTCCCGCCCCCACTAAAGTAGTCCCAATGGGTTTAACTTTGTTATATGGTTTCTACATATTTTTTAAAATTTTTAAATAAAAGGATTCTGCTCCTGAAACACAAACCACCACCATCAACAAAAACCTGCTAAATTTGGAAACTAGTAACAGCACACAGGTAAATCAAAGAACCCTGCCATCTGTTACACATGGGGGATGTTTCAAGAGACGGGGAACGATCAAGTCCCTGAGACTAAAGCCAGCAACTCAGCCCATGGGTTTGAAGCAGCGTTTTCCAGTCTCAGCACTCTTGCCATTTGGGCCTGGATCATTTGCTGTAGGGCTGTCCTTTGTGCTGTATGACGTTCAGCAGTATCCTTCGTCTCTAGCCACTAGATGCCAGTAGCATCCCCACAGCTGTGACAACCACAGTGTCTCCAGACAAGGCCAAAAGTCCCCCAAGAGCAAAGTCATCACTGGTTGAAAACCACTGTTATATTCACATGGGCCATAAGATAGTGTCAACGTTTGAACCACTCTGATGTTTTTCTTGCCTTAAAACAACAACAACACAGAGCTGATAAAACGAATCTAGTGATTGAGGGTCAGCATCATGCATGCCGCTTGTCCTGTGCCACACATAAGGGACTTAGTGTGTAAGTAGGGTTTGTTTGGACCAAAGTACTGAGCCTGGAGTTTGGGAGCCCTAATTTTAGAGTTTTTCCCACTTGCTTTCTTGCCTGTTGGCCGTCATTTGTGGCTGCTGTAGCAGAAAGGTGACAGCTGTCTCTTGCTGTCACTCGTTGGCACCTGATTTACAGCCTCTGTTGTGTTATGGAATGGGAAAGCTAATGAAGTTTGTAAAAATTTGTGAGTAGAATAACTAACTTTGACAAGAGACCAAGGGTCTTTGTTAAGTAAATTCTAGCCCTCCTGGTGTTGCTCAGTGGTTAGAGTGTTGGCCCATGTACCGAAGGGTCTCGGATTCAATTCCTGGTCAAGGGCACTACCTGGGTTTCAGGTTCTGAGTGGGGCGTGTGCAGGAGGCAACCAATCGATGTGTCTCTCATATCGAAGTTTCTCTCCCCTTCCCTTCCTCTTCCCCTCCCTCCCTCCCACTCACTCTAAAAACAATGGAAAAAATGTCCTCCGGTGAGGATTCACAACAGTAAAAAAGAAGTAAATTGTATAGATTAAGTGGCTCTTAGAACCAGAGAGTTGATGTTTCATAGGAGTCTCAATCTCAAGATAAAGAGGTGTGTTTATATGTGACCATCTCTGTCCTAGATTATGTGGGTCAACCCTTCTTTATTCCAGCGGTTCTCAACCTGTGGGTCGCGACCCCTGAAAATACATCCTGCATATCAGATATGCCTGCATATCAGATATTTACATTACGATTCATAACAGTAGCAAAATTACAGTTATGAAGTAGCAACGAAAATAGTTTTATGGTTGGGGGTCACTACAACATGAGGAACTGTATTAAAGGGTCACGACATTAGGAAGGTTGAGAACCACTGCGTTTATTCCCACACTGAATATCAGATCCTTACCATATAGATTAGTCAGTACTTGCAAAGCACTTAGAATAGTGCCCGGCACATGGTAAGCACTTCGCTCTGATGATGATGAAGTTCCAGGCACTAAGATGGGTAGGCTCAGTGATGGAACAATGATGAGCAAAGTGAATATGATTCTTCTTTTTTTAATATATATTTTATTGATTTTTTACAGAAAGGAAGGGAGAGGGATAGAGAGTTAGAAACATCGATGAGAGAGAAACATCGATCAGCTGCCTCCTACACACTCCCTACTGGGGATATGCCCGCAACCAAGGTACATGCCCTTGACCGGAATCGAAACTGGGACCCTTGAGTCTGCAGACCGATGCTCTATCCACTGAGCCAAACCGGTTAGGGCTTTTTTTTATAGCAAAGGTGGAAATTTATTAAAGAACAAGTACAGACTCCCACGTGGGGAGGGGGAAAGAGTCCCCCAGAACGGACTCCCACTTCGTGGGGGTGGGGGAAGGGTCTCCGTGAATATGATTCTTACTTGTATGGGATTCACATTCTAGTTGGGAAAAGAGTGTGGGTGGAGTGATGCTGCCATCTTATAATGTGGTATTTTGGCTTTCTTCTTAGATGCTTTCTTCACGTGTCGAAAAAATGCCCTCCTGGCGAAGAGCTCGTCCCCCCAGGTAGAGGGTGACTTTGCCATGGCCCCTCAGGGCCTGGACCAGGAAGAGTGTGAGGGCCTGCTGCAGCAGTGGCGAGAAGAAGGGTCGAGCCAGGTGTTCTCGACCGTGAGCGAGGGTCCCCTAGTAGATAAGGGACTAGCCCAGAGCAGCTTGGCACTCCTGATGGATTATCCTGGAGAACAGGATGCTGCTTCCGAGGACAAGTGGTGCAGCAGGCAGCTGAGTGACCTGCAGGCAGCAGAGAACCTAGAGGAGCCTTCCCCCGCGGTCCTAGGAGAGGAATCACTGCCAGAGGGCGAGGGCCCGATGTGGGCAGCTGTCCCCATGCAGGCAGGCCCTCAGTATGCAGACTGCACCATCCTCCCAATGGGTGCACTGGCTGCAGAGGAGTGGGAAGAGGACCCCGCAGTGGTCGCCTGGAGCCTAGCGCCTGAGCCCATGCCCCAGGAAGAGGCTCCCATCTGGTCCTTTGAGGGCCTGGGGCAGTTGCAGCCTCCCCCCGTAGAAATTCCTTACCATGGTGAGTCTGACAGCTGGCTGAGAGAGCCAGGGTAGCAGGTTGCCAGGTTGTCGTGGGTGTGGGCAGAGCCATTGCTAAAGAAGATTCTCGGTGGGGAGCTCTGTCAACTCTGCCACTGCATTTTTTTCTAAGACTCTTGCAGTGTCAGATCTAGGTGGGCCTTAGAAATCATCTCACGTAGCCCCCTGGTCTCTCAGAGGAAATAACGCCGGTGCAGAGAGGTAGCGGGACATGCCTAGAGTTACATAGCTCGGTGATGGCAGAACACAGCAGATCCTAGTTCTGATTCTCCCTGTGGCTGTTTCTCTGGAGGTGATCCAAGGGCTTCCTGGGAGGAGGCGGAGAGCCCTCGGGGCCTCCACTCTGTGCCTCAACAGAATGACGCCAGTTTTATCTGTGGCACATATTGGGCTTCCATTAAAATGTGAAGACTGAGTTCTGTGGCTCAGAGAGGTTTGAAATCCACTCTGCAGCTCCATGCTTTAAGGGAGATCGGGGACAAGCGGTTTCTAGCCCTACAAACTTTCCCAGATTTAGAGGTTAGAAAACAACCAAGGCTGAGATGACTTGAGAAGAGTCTTTAACCTCACGTGACCATTAAGCACATTCATCTGAGTGATTCCCCAGAGACCAATGGATTTGTCAAAAGTGTGAGCCTGTATTAGTTGAGCATGCACTAGGTGCCAGGCATTATGCCAGGTACTGGGAATACAGTAGTGAACAGCCCAAGGTTGTCTCTGGCTTTATGGAGCTTACTGTCTAATGGGAGAATGTCCTTAGAGTTCTGCTCAGATGACCACAGAGGGGAATGGGTGACATGGAAGGTGAAAAAATTTGAGACACAGTATCACTGAGTCAGGGGTGGAGATGGTGGGGCCTGCGGGTAACATGTACTTGCCATGACCTCTTCTTCCCAACCCCTTTGCAGAAATCCTGTGGCGAGAATGGGAGGATTTCTCCACTCAGCTGGATGCGCAGGGCCTGGAGGCAGGGGATGGCCCGCAGTTCCAGTTCACTCTGATGTCCTATAACATCCTGGCCCAGGACCTGATGCAGCAGAGCTCCGAGCTCTATCTGCATTGCCACCCGGACATCCTCAATTGGAACTATCGCTTTGCAAATCTCATGCAGGAATTCCAGCACTGGGACCCTGATGTGAGTGAAGAGCTGGGCGGGCAGTGCCACTTGCATTTGTTTTGGCCCTGGGCTGTTTCCCGGTCCTCTTAGAAAATGAGTTCATTCCCATGGTTCACATGATTAGAGCCCTTCCTGGGGCTGGAGCTTGCCTGCCTGAAGTCAGTGAGTTTTGGCAGATGCTGAGAAGACTTTCCCTGGGTGCACTTTCTGGCACCTTTGTGCAGGGAGGGAGACTTGAGGGAAAATCCAGTGTATGTGTCTGGTCTCCTCGGCTTCACGCTGGCCTGTTCTTGCTGGGGCTGGCTGTCCTATGGGAAGGTTCAGTGCCTGAGACCCACAGCAGCTTCCCACCTGGCCACTGCCTGCTCCTGGGGTGGGAGTCTTGTTCACCACTCTGGGCATTCTGGAGTGATTGGTTTCCTTGTACATTTCCCAGATCCTGTGTCTTCAGGAAGTCCAGGAAGATCATTACTGGGAGCAGCTGGAGCCCTCGCTGCGAATGATGGGTAATGCAGCTCCCTGGCATGTGTGCCAGTCTTAGTTCCTGCAGCCCTGTCTGCTCTCTCCGAAGGCACCATGGTTTCCTTTGTCTCAGTAAACCTTCAGTCTCACCTGCGAGCTAGCTCCTCCTCTATGTGGGTGAAAAAGAAAGTAGAGTTCAAAGTTTTAAAGTAACTGTGACATGTTGCCCTTTAATTCGTGAAGTAACCAAACCTGTGAGGCCGAGTATTATCCCCAGTTTACAACGAGGAAACTGAGTTTCTCAAAATTTCTGTGACTTGCTCAGGGTCACAAAACTACAAAGCTAGTAGGTTGTGGAGCTAGAACTCCAGCTTGTGTGACTTTATTTATTTTATTATTATTATTATTTGTTAATCCTCACCCAAGGATATTTTTTTCCATTTATTTTTTAGTTTTTGACATGTTTCCATTCTTTTTTTTTTTAATATATATATTTTTTATTGATTTCAGAGAGGAAGGGAGAGGGAGAGAGAGATAGAAACATCAATGATGAGAATCATTGATTGGCTGCCTTCTGCACTCCCCCTACTGGGGACCAAGCCCGCAACCCGAGCATGGGCCCTTGACTGGGATTGAACCCGGGACCTTTCAGTCTGTAGGCCAATGCTCTATCCACTGAGCCAAACCAGCTAGGGCTCCATTGATTTTTAGAGAGTGGAAGGGAGGGAGGAGTGGGATAGGGAGATAGAGATAGAGATAGAAATAGAGATAGAGATAGCGATAGGGATAGAGATAGGAAGAAAGAAAGAAAGAGAAAGAAAGGAAGGAAGGAAGGAAGGAAGGAAGGAAGGAAGGAAGGAAGGAAGGAAGGAAGGGAGGGAAAAAAAGAAAGAGAAAGAAGAAGAAGAGAGAGGGAGGGAGAGAGAGAGAGAGAGAGGAAGAAAGAGAGAAAGAGTGAGTGAGAGAGGGATAGGGAGAGAGAGAAACATCAGTGTGAGAGAGACACATCAATTGCTTGTCTCCCACACATGCCCTGGGGATTGAGCCTGCAATCCAGGTACGTGCCCTTGACTGGGAATGGAACCCAAGACCCTTTGGTGCATAGGCCGACGCTCTCCACTGAGTCACACTGGCCAGGGCCAACTTGTCTGACTTTAGATTCCATGCTGTCCCTGTCGACTTATATTGCTTCAACCCTTCTCTCCTCCTTTCCCGTTAGAGCCTCTCTCGTCTGGTTAAAACTGTCAGGGAACCTCTGCAGGGCCAGGGGATTGGCAAGGGCAAGGACTCCCATTATAGAGCAGCAGGAGCAATGCCTGTGCACACCCACCGGGGTTACTGCCACTGGTTGGAGGGACTCAGGGTTCAAGGACTCTGATCCATCTCCTTGGTGGGGTGTTCCTGCAGGCTTTACCTGTTTCTACAAGAGGAGGACCGGGTGTAAGACGGACGGCTGTGCTGTCTGCTACAAGCCCACGAGATTCCGTCTGCTTTGCGCCAGCCCTGTGGAGTACTTCCGGCCTGGCTTGGAGCTCCTCAATCGGGATAACGTGGGCTTAGTGCTGCTGCTGCAGCCACTGGTCCCAGAAGGCCTGGGGCAAGTCTCGGTGGCCCCATTATGTGTGGCTAATACCCACATCCTGTACAACCCACGCCGGGGTGATGTCAAGTTGGCCCAGATGGCCATTCTCTTGGCTGAAGTGGACAAGGTGGCTAGGTTGTCAGATGGCAGCCACTGCCCCATCATCTTGTGTGGGGACCTGAATTCCGTCCCTGAGTCACCTCTCTACAACTTCATCAGGGACGGAGAGCTGCAATACGATGGGATGCCGGCCTGGAAGGTGAAAGGGGCAGACCACTGCGGGCGGGAACGGCCTCGGGAGAGGCTCGGGTGTGGCACCAGCACTGCTTCTGTGGCAGGGACTTCAGTTGCCCCGGTTCTGGCTCCCTCCTGCTTTCTTGTACCCAAAGCCTGGAAGTTAGGAACTCTCGAGTGCCTTTGGCATATTGGAATCCTTTCAGTTTTTATCATTAATTTATTTTGAGTCTATAAGTAATACATAAGTACATCCTTGAAAGAATTCAAATGTCATAAAATCAGGCCAAAGCCCCTTTTATTACCTACAATCCCTGCCTCTCCCCTTAGAGTCAAATAATAGCTGAAGTTTGGTGGCATCTTTCCAGATCGTTTTTATGCATTTATAGTGATATCGATGTTCCCGTGATAATATAATCCTAATTTACATTTATTAAGCAATTACTATGTGCCAGGTGCTATTTTAAGCTCTTTATATGTACTCATTAATTTTCATAACTTCTGTCATTGCCTCCATTTTATAAATGAGGAAACTTAAGGCACAGAGAAATTAGTAATTTGCTTACTCTAGATTATGCAGGTCATTGGTGGCGGAGCCAGGATTTGTAGCTGGGTGGTCTGGCCCCAGAGCTCTCCCCCTCCAGCACTATCTGTGATTGCTTCTAACAGCTGGTATATAATCTATCGTGTGTATTTATAAACATAATATGTTACTGCATATTTTATAGCTTTTTTTTCACTTAATGTATATATGGATCTGTCTTATTCCTCTTAATGGCTGAATGTTGATAGCACAGATATCTCATAGTTTATCATAGTTTATTTAGCTGTGCTCATGGGCATTCAGCTTGTGCTAATTTTTTAGCTAATTTTTAATGTCACTTCATCTCCCTGTTCCTCTGTTTTGCTTCGACTGGTCCATCCACCTTATTGCTTAGCTTCTGGCAAGGCACAGTGGAGAAAGGACACAAAACGACTGAATTATTATTGAGCATTTTGGGCTTTTATTTTAATGAGGTTACTCAGGTGCCAGCCGTGTCTTGGTTGCCATGTGTGAAAGGCATTATCCTGCCAGAAGGTTGCGGTGATCAAGGAGCTCAGGAAACAGGCGAAGAATTTACTAAGTGCCTCCTGGTGTGGCACGGTTAGGTGTGGTGATTCAGAGCACTCATTTTGAATCCCCGCTCTCCCACCTTGGTCAAGTTTCTTAACTTCTGAAAGCCCCATTTGCCTGATCCAGACATTGGGGATGTAATGGGACCTACTCCAGAGGTGTTTGTTTGTTTGTTTGACGGGTTAAATAAAATAATGCACATGAAGTGTTTTCCAGTGCCTACTTCAAAGGAAGCAGCCATACTGTGGTAGTGATTATTATTATCAACCCTTAATTACATGTGGTATCATTATCCCATTTTATAGTACAGGATATTGAACCCAAGAGAGTTGGCTAACTTGCCCAAAGTCACACAGCCGTTAAATTCCAGGCCTGTTTTACTTCAGGTGGCATATCGGAAATTAACGTCCTTGAAAAGCAAAGAGATTGTGCCTATCACTGCTTTCCTCCTAGCACTTAGCTCGTGTCCTGCACATAGCTGGCATTCCCATATTTGTTGTTAAATGAAATAAAGGGAATTTTGCTACACCCGTTGGAGACATGCAAATGGCTGATGTTGCCGAGTGTTTCCCCTACTACCTTCTGCCCAGGCTTTGACTGAGGGTGGTGACGTAAGTAAAGCGCTTTGGTGCGTATATCACTTGGCTCAACCCTGTGGTTTCCCAATAATAGGCTTACGATCTAGACCTTGATCCAGAAGATCCAAAGATCAGGATAAACCTTTTCCCCTTGCACAGTAAAGCCGCCGAAAGTTGATATTCTCTGTGGAGAATTGTGAAGATTTTCCTGAGGTAAAAGTTAGGGGATCACATGTTCATACAGTTCTATTCTCTTTCACTCACACACCTCATTTTCTCAGCCCTCATTCCTATCTCATGGACATTTCAGTGTTTCTAGTAAAAAAAAAAAAAAGGTTTTAATTAGCTCCTTAGTTTTAACCTTCCCCTAAGACTTATGTTTTGCTTATATTGTGTATGTAGCATATGAATGTGTGTGTGTATGTTTGTCTGCATGTCCCCCAAATGGGCTGTTCCTTTTTCCATCTTGGTTTCCTCATTCCCACCTGCTCTTTCCTTGTAGGTGTCTGGACAGGAAGACTTCTCCCATCAGCTTTACCAGAGGAAGCTGCAGGCCCCACTATGGCCCAGTGCCCTGGGCATCACTGATGGCTGTCAGTATGTCACCTCCTGTCATCCCAAGAGATCAGGTGAGCATGCGCCATGTTCCTGGTGGCTGTGCCTTCATGCCCGTTTTGAGAGAGAGCTGGCACCTCCATGATGAGAAAGCCTAATCCCCTCAGTTCCCTTAGCAAGGTCTTTGTTTTTCTCACTGTCCTCATGGTCACCCAATGATTCTACAACTTCAAGTCGTAGCTGTTGGAACATCTCCTTGTCTTCTGAGCCAGATTTCCCCTGTCCCGTTGCTAGGAGCTTCTTGATATTAAGGAGGGCTCAGCATGTGGCTCCTCTTCTTTTCTTTTACCGTGTGGCTTTTCCTGGTTTACAGAGAGACGTAAATATAGCCGAGACTTCCTGCTACGTTTCCGCTTCTGCAGTATTGCCTGTCAGCGACCAGTAGGATTGGTTCTTATGGAGGGAGTGACAGATACTAAGCCAGGTAATGGGAACTAAGTTGTTTTATTTTTAAAACCTCTTTACCCCTGATATTTGTCAATTATATGATTTCTCAGTCTTTCCTCGGCATAATTCTTAGCGGTCAGCTTCTGATTATAAGCAGGCTTAGCAGGAAGGTCAGTGGAGTTTAGTGGCCAGACACATGCATTGATGTGCAGTGTCATGAGAACATGGACCAGGAATCAAGACCTGGGCTCTAACCAGCTCTGAGACCTTAAGGAAGTCGTTACCCTTTTTAGGCTAAAGTTGCTACTAACTAGAACGTAGACAGCATATATGGGAGAGAAGATTCACGTGCTAGGGCTTTGAGAATCAAAAGGTGACGATAGCCTTGGCTGTAATAAAAAGTTAGTCCTACTGAGAACTTCCAGACTGAACGTAGCAGAGCATACTTGACATTCTACTCTTCTCAACTCTGAAACCACTTTGAAGCAACAAGGAAAATGGAATAAAGAAACGTAAACTCCATCTTTAAGAAAAGATCTAAGGTATCTGAAACCATAAACCACACACAGTGGAGTGGCTGTGAGAAGCACTGGAGATCATGCAGGGGTGTTGGAGGAAGTGTGGAGAGATTTATCTGTGAGGCGTATGGATTCCAAAAGAACCAGCACAGTGCCTTCCTCCAAGGTGAGGAGCGTACCTGAGGCACCAGACCAAAATCCTTGTTTCATCAATAAGGAAAGGATGCCCAGTTGGTGATAGGACATTATCTCAACCTGTTTTAGTCCTAAGAGGCAGTGGATGGAAGACTGATTAAGGAATCAAGCATATTTGCATCGAGCAGTCTAAATGGCACGGGGGGTACTCAGGGCTACGTATCTTTTGCCTAGGGAGAAGCAAAGATTAAAAGGACTCATACACACCCTGTGTCATAAGGAAAATCTTTTACTTGGGATGCATATTTAATTCTCTTATATAAACTTTGTATAAATAACTGGTAGTGAAACCTCAACTAATTCAAAGCTGGGCTGCCCAGAAGAAACCAGCATGAGATCTGCACTAAAATACTAAAAGAAAAAAGGTGAAAGGAACAGGAAAAATGAAAGGCAGATAAAGAATCCTTACTTCAAAGATAAAAATTCTTGCATGGAGCATATGAAAATTATAATTATTTTTCCATGAATAAAAATATGAAGCAATTGCCTTTATAAAATAAGAGCACAAAAATAAAACCATTGCCTTTTAGACATAAGTTCAGGCACATGGCAAGACATCAGAAGATGAAATGTAAGCTGCAGAGCTGAGGAAAGAAATGGAATAAAAGATTTAAAAATCACATAAAATGAAGACAAAATTGGATGCAGCGTAAGAAAGAATAGATATTGCTGAAAACAAGATGAGACAGGCAAAGAGGAGTGTGGGGGGGGCAAAATAACAAGAAAGTAAAAGGATAAAAAGGACTAGAGAGAAATGGCAGTAGTGAAAGATAAGGAAAGGCAACATATAATTGGAGTTAACAAAGAAGAAAACCAATATAATGGCACAAAAGAAATATTTAAAGGTGTGATTCAGGGAAGATTTTCCAAAGATGAAAAGATCTGAATCTTCAGATTGAGAGGATATGCCATGTCTCAGTAAAAAAAATGATATAGGAGAAGCAACACTAACTTCCTAGTGAAGTTACCAGAAGTCAAAGAAAAAAGAATCCTTTGGACAGTTGCACCAAAAAGATCGGGCTACTTCTAAGAATAAAAATAATGAGATTGGCGTCTGATTTCTTAACATTAACATTCACCTCTAGAAGATGGGAGCAAAGCTTCAAGGAAAGAAGCTAAGGCTCATGAATTTTATACTCCCCCAAAAGCCTTTCTTGAAGAGATGCCAGAAGACTAACTATGACAACCAAGCAGTGACTGGAAAAAAACTCTAGTAAAAGGACTGGTGGTAAGCAATGAATTTATTTTTTTCTTGTTGGGATTTAATTTAAATTGGCATTTTGCACAGAGCAGCAAACATTTCAATGGCTCAGTTATTTTAATTGCAAAGGTAAATGTATTATTACAACTGTAGCAACATATAATAATAATGATGATGGCGTGTGTTGGAACTCGGATAGGGCTTGTATCAGTTGAGCTCAGTCAGGGAAGCAGGGGCTCAGTGTTTTAAGATTATAAAATCCTAAGGTTAAACAGTAGTAGGATCCCACATAGGCAATTTTATGTTAAGAATAGGCTATTTAAAAAAAAAAATCCATGCTATCCTTGAAGCATAAAATAAATACTTCAGTTTTAACAAAATTAAAACCAAGAATCTTTTAAAATACATACTGACAATCACTTTGTAAGTAGAATCATTATATAGGGGGGAACTACCCAGTTCACTAACAATGCAAAATAATAGCAGTATTTTCAAAATTGAGATTAGCCCTGACTGGTGTGTCCAGTGGTTAGAACATGGGTCTGCACACTGCGGGGTTGTGGGTTTGATTCCCAGTCAAGGACAGGTACCTGGGTTGTGATTCCCTCCCCACTTCTGGTTGGGCATGTGCAGGAGGCAACTAATTGATGTATCTCTCTCACATTAATGTTTTTCTCTTCCCCCTCTTCCCTCCCTTTCACTCTCTCTAAAATTTAGTCTAAATGTAAAAATATCCTCAGGTGAGGATTAAAAAAAGTTGAGATCAAATTTGGGTAAACACACCCATTCACCACATACTGTGAACATGCCCCCACCTAGGGCTGAACAGGCTTCTGCTGAATCTCTTTTAAAGACTCCAAATCTGAATAGCTACCACCATTTTTATACCATGAATAGAAAGACTGAAGTGCAGTACAATGAGATCATAGTGTGTGATCTTTTTTTTAGAGGTTATGTTTAAATCAGCGGTCGCCAACTGGTGGTCCGTGAGGCCCAAAAGGTTGGTGACCGCTGGTTTAAATATCCTACTGAATAATGTTTCCAGTCCAATACCAGAGTCATCCAACCCACTGTGCACATCATAACTTGTCAACTTGACTCTGACACTGACTTTAATAAGAAGCATCTGAGTTGCAAAAGGAACTGCAGTGCTAGGTAGTGATGCTGTAACTTACCCACAAGTTGACATTGCGTTGCGTCGCACTGGAGCATTCTACATCACCCAGGTTGTGTAATAAACATTGTGGCCTTTCCAAAAGTGGCTCTGTTGGTTGAACGTCGTCAACCTGTGCCCTGAAGGGTTCGATTTCTGGTCAGGGCACATGCCTGGGTTGTGGGCTTCATCCCTGGTCAGGGTGCATGCAGGAGGCAGCTGATTCATATTTCTCACATCAATGTTTCTCTCTTCCTCTCTCTTTAAGATAAATAAAAACATATTTAAAACAAACATTGTGATTCCCTTTGTGAGGGAATAATTAATACGAAGGGAATCTAAATTTTAAGTTCCCCTCTTATTTATTTTTTGAATTATTATTTATCTTCCCAATGTGGTTCATAAAGACGCTGAAAGGGGTTACTATGTTTTCTTTCTAATGAGTGCTTGCATTAAATTAACTCTGGAGCTTTGAACTTACATTGAACCCTTCAGGTCTTTTATCACATAACCACAAACTGTGTGCCCAATTAAGTGCATTATATGAAAAAACAATTATTAATAGGTGATATTCATAAACCACTATTTACAAACTGACCAGAGGGCCATAGAGCAAAAGCTGTCTGATCAGTTTCTAACCAGGAAAGTCCTGAATCCAGCTTCTCCTCTAGCCCATGCACGGCACAATTTATTATCCCCTTCCCTGGTACTTGCAGAAGAACTTACTTGCTTGGCTTCCACTTGCTTACTTGGTGCTGAATGGGCCCAGAAGATGTTGCAGCACAGGTAGAGGCGGGCCCATGTGCTAGTGCTGCCTGTGCACAGTGCTGTCTGTACACAGTGCTGCATGGACAGAGCCTGGGGTTGAGGGAAACCATTTTCACTGTCCTGCTGGTCAGTGATTTTTCTGGCATATCATAATGGGAAAGGATGTGACTCAAAATGAAGATATTAGTGTTGTGAATATTTATGCTCCAAATAACATTACATCCACAATCACAACGTGAAACTTCAGGGTTTAACAAGGAATAATAGTCAGAAGATAACTAATGGAAAAGGTTTTAACTCATCTTTCTTACTCTGTAACAGATAAAGTAGATAAAAGATAACTAAAAATATAGAAGACTTAAGTAACATGTTATAAGGTAAATCTGATTGGTACATATCAAACTCTGCACACTGAAAGCAGAGCAAAGACATCTTTTTGAGTATCCATAGGAGATTCTTAAGAGTTAACCATATATTAGACCAGCGGTCGCCAACCGGTGGTCTGTGGACCACTGGTGGTCCATGAGGTCCGAAAGATTGGCGACTGCTGTATTAGACCACCTAAAAAACCTTAATCAATTTTAAACAGTAAAATAGTATTGTCAACTTTCTCTGATCACACATGCAATAAAAATAGAAATGAAAAAAAATACTACTGCTTGAACATTTAAAAAATTTTAACACTCCGGTGTGGGGTGAATTTCCCGCCAAAATATAAGATGGCTCTGTCTTTTGGTTTTGTTCCATCCACCAAAAGGGTGGATTACAAACAAATATTTGGTAATACGCAGTTACAATTGGCCCGAGTTTACACGTTTCCCGCACTCCACCGCAAATCTATATGAACCGAGTTAAAGACGGCTCCCGCGGAGTACGCGCAATTCACGCGAGCCGACTTAACTCGTTTCCCCCACTCCAAGTGTTAAAAAACTTTTAAGTCAAAGGTAAAATTTAAACTGAAACTGCAGAATATCTAAAAATAATAATGAAAATACCATATTTTTTAGGATTATAGCTGGAACCATTCAATGAAAAAAAACATAGAATAATATAGAATATTTAGAATCACAGAATTATATTAATAAGAAAGATGGAAGTAAGTACATTAAGCATCCAACTTAAGAAGTTAGAAAAAAGAACAAACTGAACAAAAGCAGAAGGAAAGAAGGTAAAAATGAAAATAATTTAGAAAACAGAAAAATAGAACTAGTAAACCCTAAGAGTTGATGGTTTGGGGGAAAACCGCTGTCAATTAGATAAGCCCATTTGCTGACCTATTTAAGGATTAGGCAAAAGTGTCCAGATGCACAGGAATTAATCCTATATAATAAAAGCCTAATATGCTAAGTGTCCGGTGTTCATCATTCAACCAATCAAAGCGTAATATGCTAATGATATGCTAAGGCCGCTCAACTGCTCGCTATGACGTGCACGGACCACCAGGGGGAAGACGCTCTGACCAGTAGATTAGCTTGCTGCTGGGGTCTGGCCAATAGGGACAGAGCGAGACTGGCTGGATACACCCTGGAGCCCTCCCACAGTCCCTCCCCAGCTGGCCAACCTCCAGCGTCCTTCCCCCACCCCAATCACACACTGGTTGGGTCCCTTGACCTGGCCTGCACCCCCGAAATCTGGGACCCCTCGGGAGATGTCGGAGAGCTAGTTTTCGGCCTGATCCCGCAGGCCAGGCCGAGGGACCTCTAGTAGGATTATAAGGGGGTTCTTTGCTCAACTAAGTGCAAAGAAATTGAAAACTTAGCTGCAAATACTAATTTTAGAAAGTAATTTACTAAAAAGAGATTGCAGGAGAGTGATAATCTAAATAAATTACCACAGAAGGAAAAAAGTTTAAAAAGTTTTCTGAGTTGCAGTCCCAGAAAAACATCAGGCTCAGATTGATAGGAGAATGTCATCAAACCTTTTAAAGAACTTATAATTCTACTACTACTTAAATTGTTACAGAATACAGAGGAAGAATGGGGCCAAGTTATTTTATGAAGCAAGTATTTTGACACCAACACCTGACAATTAGACAAAAAAGGAAAACTGCAGACTAATATTCTCCCTTATGAATATTGATACAAAAATTTAAATAAAAGATCAGGAAACAGAATCTAGCAGCACATTTAAAGAGCAATAGATCATGACCAAATGGAGTCGATCAGAAATATAAAGTTAGTTTGATATTCAAAATCTCTTAATATAATTATTTATATATATATATACACACATACATATATATGTATATATAAATAATTGGGTGATATATATATGGATATATATATATATATATATAGATATAGCACACACACACATACACACACACACACACACCATCCTAGTCAGCTGGTGCTGCTCAGTGGTTGAGTGTCAACATATAAACCAGCACCGATCCATTCCCAGTCAGGACACATGCCCAGTTTGCAGGCTCGATCCCCAGTAGAGGGCGTGCAGGAGGCAGCCAATCAATGATTCTCTCATCATTGTTGTTTCTATCTCTCCCTCTCCCTTCCTTTCTGAAATCAATAAAAATATATTTTAAAAAATAAAAGAAAAGCATCCTATAGATGTCAGAGACATTTTGTTAAAATTCAGCATCTATTCTGTATTCTTGTAAAAAGAGCCCTCTTAAATTAAGGAAAAAGTAGATAATCCTTACACCATTCAAATACATTTATTTTAGTCGGAACATGTTGTTGCAGTGAGGAACTAGGCTCTGAGGCTGTGAGGAGTGGGAGGAGGGCATAGATTTGCCATGGGCCTGAAAAAGAAGTTTATCTCAGCTCCAAAAATCAGGATCTTGCTTAAGAAAACACTCTAGTAGCAAAGTCAGGAACAAGTTCAGAGATACCATAATTAGAAGTAGGAAATAGAAATACAGGTAAGAAAATAGAAGTGAAAAATGGAAAGGAGGGGGTAAATTATTACTTGCTGTTAATATCTTATATAACTGATGACCTAAGAGAATCAACTAACAACTGTCATAAGCATTGAGATAATTCTGGAAAGTAGCTGGGTACAATATTAATATACAGAAAGCCATAGTAGTCATATATAAAAATAATGACATATTTGTTAAGAAATATAATGAAGTCCTGGCTGGTGTTGCTTAGTGGTTAGAGTACTGGCTCATGCACCAAAGGGTCGAGGTTTGATTCCTAGTCAAGGGCATGCACCTGGGTTGCAGGTTCGATCCCCGGGCCCAGTTGGGGCATGTATAGGAGGCAACCAGGCAATGTGTGTCTCTCACATCAATGTTTCTCTCTCTCCCTCTCTCCCTCTCTTTTCTCCTCCTTTTACTCTCTCTAAAAATCATTGGAAAAAATATCTTCAGGTGAGGATTAACAACAACAAAAGAGGTATAATGAAAAAACTCTTTATAATAGCAACAAAAATAAAAACAAATTAACATGGAAATGTAAGATATATAAAGGAATATTTCATTTTATCTAAATTATCAAATTTATTGGTATGAAATTGTAACATTTCCATCTTTTTTTAAAAGACCTTTATTGAGATTAAATACACATACCATAAAATCTACCCACTTAAAGTATACAATTCCGTGACTTTTAGTATATTCAGAGTTGTGTAATCAACACCAAAATCATCACCCCCAAAAGGAACTGTATATCCATTAGCAGTCACTTTCCATTCACCCCTCTCAGGAAAAAATCAATTGACCATGGACATATGGGTTTTTGGACTCTAAATGATATTCCATTCACCTATATGTCTATCTTTAGGCCAGTACCACACTGTCTTGATTATCTTAACTCTGTATAAGTTTGAAATAGAGAACTGTAAGACCTGTAACTTAGTTATTGTTTTCACTATTAAGTATGATATTTGCTCTCTGGGATCCCTTCACAGGGCATTAATTCCATTCATAAGGTCTCCACCCTCATTGACCTAATTACTCCCAAAGGCCCCAGCTCCCAATGCCATCCCATTGGGGTCTTAGGATTTCAACATATTTTGGAGTGACACAAACATTCAGTCCATAACACCCATTAATGTCAGTAGGATCTGTAATAATATCCCCTCTTTCTTTCCTGATATTGATAATGTGCCTTTTTCTTTGTGTGTCTGTGTATATAAACGTGTGTAAAAAAGCATGTATATGTATACATGTGTATATGCACATATATGTGTGTACACACACACACACACACTAGATGGTGTGTGATAGAAAATATCTGGAGGAATATACCAAAAATTTGATACCATTCGTTGCCTCTGGAGAGAATTGTGTGGCAAGGGACCTAAAATGGGAGGGAGACTTTTCACTGATTTTTTTTTGCAACATTTTTTTTTTACCATGTGACTATATTACCTTCTTAAAACTTTTTGTTGTTGTTAATCCTCATTTGAGGATATTTTTTCCATTGTAAGGGTGGGTTCCACAGTTCCCTGGAACCCACCCTGCTCATTCATTGATATATCATGGATGATACCTAGCACGGTGGATTACATCTTCTTCTCAGCTGAGTCCTGCGAGAATGGGAACAGGACTGGTAAGCCTGGTGGGTCCTGGGTTCCTAGGAGCCATCCACACGAGTCCCTGGGACAGCTGATGGTAGGTCAGGCATTTGGTGGCATGGCTGGGGCTGCTGGGACTTGACCAGCAAAAGAGCAGGTTTCATACCTACCTAGCACTGCTCAACCTCATGGATGATTTTTTTTAGAGAGAGTAGAAGGGGGTGAGGGGAAGAGAGAGAGAGAGACGTCGATGTGAGAGAGACACATTGCCGGTTGCTTCCCCCACCTACTCCAATGGGCTGGGAATGGAACCTGCAGTGAGGTGCATGCCCTTGACTGGGAATCGAACCCAAGACCCTTTGGTGTGTGGGCCAACGCTCTAACCCTTGAGCAACACCAGCCTAAGCTGACTATATCACCTTTTAAAAATAAATTTAAATTTTAAGAAAAGTTGCCGAGTCAAGGAAGATAAATGTCTATGCTAGAGGCCTGTGTGCCTTCCTGCGGTTCCTGACTTTGGTCCATTGTTTTTTCCACCCTTCACTATTTTTCCTCTTTCCCTTTGGGAGCAGTCCCATCATGGATCTGAGAAGGATTTCAGGGTGCAAGGTTCTGACCCTGTTCACTGTCTGCGAATGACAGAACATCTTTCTCTCCCGTCTTCTACAGAACGACCTGCTGGCTGGGCCGAGTCCGTTCTTGAGGAAGACATGTCTGAGCCTGAGCCCGAGCCCGAGCCCGTCTCCCCCAGGTAATCCTCCTGCTAGTTCCCTTCAGCTTGCATTCCAGTACAGGAGAGAGATTCCTGTTGGCCTTCCTAAGGCTAATTTGGGGGAGCATTTTTGTTGAGCTCTCCCTCCCCCCAATACCTGCTAAGCTTATGGAGGGGCATACAAGTGAACGGAGGCCAGAGGTGACCCACCCAGGTGCCTGCAGAGGAAAAGCCCACACACTTTTCCTCAATGGAGGGAGGCCTCCCAGAAGAGCTTGCTGACGCATGGACAGGGTATGCTTCGTCAGGGGCAAGGGAGGGGTGGGGGTGAGGAACGTCAGGGGGAATGAGAATGCATGTGCTGTTTCTAGGCTAATTTTAGCTAAGACTGTCAGCCTCTTATTAGCAGGGGGAGGAATTTTTGTTGAGACTGTTATTTGGGATCATTCATTAAAAATACTTCATAAAACCCACAGAGAAAGTAACCTTGAGAAAAGTTCAATAATGTTTGCTGATTGAAATTGTCCTCTCCATCCCTGTAGGACCGTAGGCACCATCCAGCACTGCCTCCACCTGACCTCGGTATATACTCACTTCCTGCCCCAGCATTGCCGCCCAGAGGTCACCACAATGCCCTTGGGTATTGGAACGACGGTGGATTACATCTTCTTCTCAGCTGAGTCCTGCGAGAATGGGAACAGGACTGGTAAGCCTGGTGGGTCCTGGGTTCCTAGGAGCCATCCACACGAGTCCCTGGGACAGCTGATGGTAGGTCAGGCATTTGGTGGCATGGCTGGGGCTGCTGGGACTTGACCAGCAAAAGAGCAGATTTCATGCCTACCTAGCACTGCTCATCCTCATCATCCTTCTCTTAGGCCACTTGTCTGACTTCTCTTTTGAACCTTGTAGCATTAGAGAGAGGTGGGCAGAACAAGCACTCTCCATCCCTGGTTTGGAGGGAAAAAGTAGAGCACCACGAGATTACTGCATCTGTTCAGTGGGTCTGGTTAGTGAGGAACTCCGTCGGGTTAGAGACCCCGTGTCCTATCTCCTCACCCACACTGGTGGTCACAGTGTAGCAGTCTATAAGCCCCGGGTCTGTTTGTTTAAAGCATGTCTTTTAAAATGTTTAAATTGATTGCCTATGTTTAAAAATCAGATTTTTGTATAGAAAATCTGGATTTCCAGTTTCTCTTGGAAAACAAGATCTTGTAATGTTGGGCCTGGGCATACACTCTCCATTTTGCCACAGTTCCCTGGAACCCACCCTGCTCATTCATTGATATGTCATGGAGTATCTGAGAAAAACGAGGCCTCTCCTAGAGGCAGCAGGAGGTGGAGGAGGGTGGGCAGCCAAGGGGATGGAGCCTCCGTAAGGCAGAGCTTCCATAGGCCCCGCCCTCTCCATGAGTGTGACTGACTCTCCTACCCTCTGCCCTCTGGCTTCCGCTTTGTGCCCCAGATCACAGGCTCTATCAAGATGGAACTCTCAAGCTCCTGGGCCGTCTCTCCCTCCTCTCTGAAGAGATTCTCTGGGCTGCCAATGGCTTACCCAACCCCTTCTGCTCTTCAGACCACCTCTGCCTGCTGGCCAGCTTCGGGATGGAAGTGACCGCCCCATGATGGGCTCCCAAGGGAAGAGAGCCGCTCTTCTAGAAGAGCCCACTGGGTCAGAGACTGGAAATATCCCATGCTTCTGGAAACTTAGATCCAAGAAACTTACAGCCCCCCCTCCCCTCCTGTTCCCTTTTCCCGTGGTTAGATTTTCTGTGGGCCTGTCCAGGCTCTCTGCCTGTGGTCCCTTCCCTGCCCCAACCTCTTCCTAATCCTCTTGTGCCACATGCTTGGTGGCCCTGGGAGAGGCGGAAGGGGGCCTTCCCCCTTCCTTCCATGTATCCAGCGCTCCTCTTGATTTTTAATTACCAGGGTTGTGGGAGCTATTGATCTCATTTGTTATTTGCTTTCAGGCCGTTTCTTGGTGGTACTTTCTGATCCGACCTCCTCCCCGTCCTCACAACCTCTGTGCCCAGCCCTCTTGCCAGGCACACGCGTGTGAAATGTGTATAGTGGGTGTGCATCCTCTCAAGGTGGGACTGCTCTGTGCGGCCATACCTGCCTCGATCAGCCTGCTGTCCACACTGGGGCTGTCGGCCTAGGGGCAGGTTGAGAGCACCACCTGGTGCCTGTGTGCTGCCAGGCAGCAGCAGGGGCACGGGCCTTTCTCCTTTTATCCTCTGTTTCATTAGGCGTTCATCATGCCAGCCAGGGCATACTCATCACTGAGCTCTGGGAATGAAAGGGTCCCCAGCCTGGAGCAGCACCATTGGGGACGCAGTACCTGCCCCAGAGGCCTCTGGGCCTCCACCCCCCAGCTCCCCAAGGCCTGGCTTTCCCTAGGCTTGTCCCCGAGGAGGGTGAAAGTTTGTGTGGGGTCTGTGGGCTGGGATAGTGACTTGAGATTTAAAACTCCTTAAGGGTGAGGAGAAAGAACCTTCAAGAAACAATGGGCTCACTGGACTCCGTAGCCCAGCGGTCGCCAACCTTTTGGGCCTCACGGACCACCGGTTGGCGACCGCTGCTGTAGCCCACAGAGCTAGGGCGAAATGGGCGTGTCCCGTAGGGAAAGAGCAGGCGGGCTCTGCAGCTGCCTCGGCTGGGACTCAGGACCTCAGGGACCTGTTCTCTTCCCTCCACCACTTTTACTGTTTGCTGCATCCCTCATCCCCTTCTGTTTTCTCCTAGAAAAGCCTGCTATTTAGCTCAGGCCAAACCTTCTCAGTGAAAAGGTGGCCTTGGGCACAAGTGCTTGAGGAGTTGTTCAGGCCAGCAAGGCCTTGCTGCTCATTGCCTCTGCTTTCCCTCCTCGCGCAGGGTACCTGGCCCATCCAGGGGGCTTCCGTGCCCACACGCGTCACCTGCCTGCCTTAATCTTCTGTTGCTGGGGGTGGCCCCGGGGGTTCTGGGTCAGCTGTTCCTCATATCCCTTAACTCAGACGGCTGCTGGCCCTGGTGGATTTGACTTGCTGTTGTCCACTTGCCCTCCAGCACAGGACTGAAGGGATGGCGAGAAGCCGGAGATGGGCGGTTAGCCAGAGGTGAATTTAATGATCTCTCCTTCTGAAAGCCAAAGACCCAGCTTGAATTCTGCTGCTGTGTTCATGGTTATAAACTTTCCACACCTAGGTTCTTGGAAATTTAAATATGCGTGTATCCTTAAACAGTGTTTCCTGGGTATGGGCATGTGCCTGTCTGAGCCCCAGGCCTGTCTGTCCATCCCCGCCGTACACTCTGTTTGTCTCTCTGGGCACCTCCGGAGATAACAGTGCCCTGTTGTTTTCTAAGACGATTGCCCTTCCCTGTTCTCTGCCAGGAAATGCAGTTTAAAAATGGCTGAAGATGGCAGAGGGCAGGTAGCCTGATAATCATTTTTGTTTTGTTTTCTTATTTGTTTCTGTTTTGGAAACAAAATGGGGCTTTAAATTCTCTTTTCCAAATAAAGGTTTACTTTTCCCCCCTCCGGTTGGTCATTTTATTAGGATCTTGCAGGGCACGGGGGAGAGAAGGCCTGGAGAATGAGGTGGGCCGAGGGGAGGAGACTGGCTTTGTGATGGGGTCTCAAGTCCTAAATCTACACGGGGGAAAAGTGAGGGAATCTCCCTCTGATCACTGAGGCCGTGGGGGAACAGGGCGTGGGCGAAGCTTCTGCCCTGACTTTTCTTGGGCAGCTCTCTTCTCCATCTTTGCCCAGCTAGAGAGAAGAGCTCTCTCAGCCACTGTTGTTCTGTTCCATCTGCTGCTCCCCTCCCCCCTCCCATCCAGACTGCATTTCAGGAGGGTCTGTGTGGAAAGTGGGACGAGAAATGTTTCCTATGGCAGCTGCATGAGGCCTGGTGCGTGCGGCGGATGCCTCTTGCTGAGCTGCTATTTCTGATAATCTCTTTTGCGTTCCGCAGCCAGAGCTGAGCTGTGGACCATCTGTTGCTGGAAAGGTTTCTCTTCTTCCTGGGCCTCACTCTGCTGGTGCTTTTGTCTCCAGCCTCCTTCAGCCTCAAGCCCACCAAGCCCGCATGCGCGTGGGAAGCTCTGAAACGGGGGTGGTTTTCTGCCTTACCTGACCAGATTCCCAGACCCCACACCTGTGAGTCAGCCGCTGAGAATCTGAGTTACTTAAAGCTACCAGGGTGCTTCTGTGGCACCACCTGGGTTGGGAGTCTGTGGAGAGGGCACGAGGGATTAGGAACACCACTGGTCATCTTGGCCTGGTGACTGTGGGTAAGTTAACGCTTGTGTTTCAGTCACATATCTTGGTGAAATGGAAATTAAAGCAATAATCTTTTCCACTTGTGAGGAATTTTCAGATCTGAAAGTGTATTGTTTGGGCGTTGACAAGCAAGGGCTGCTAAGGATTCCCGAGTATTGGTGGGAGGTGCGGGTGGGTAGTTCTCCCCAGCCAGGCTGGACGATTGGCCTATGGGCTGGGATTGTTTCATACTCCTAAGCTTTGGGGTGTATCCCCAGAGACCCCTTTCCTGGCCTAGAGGGTTCCCTATAGCACTTTATCAACCAGTACTCCATGCCCGCTATGCATAGATCACAGCACTGTGATAGGCAGTTCAGGTGTTCGTGTATTACCTTTACACCCGAGGAAATAGAAATCCCAAAGAGGTAAATTGCGAGTCTCCTTTGCTTTATTTCTTGCCACCCCATGCTCCTCAGCACACAGCCTTTCCAGGAGTAGGAGAGAGGCTGTCTTTCAGAGCAGACCCGCTGGTGGGGGGAGAAGGGAAACCACGCATCAGGCTGCAACTGGTGTGCTTTTATTTTTAAACTCAAGTTTTGTTTTTCTCTCCAGTTCTTGCCCCGGTGTAGCTACTAACGGATTGTTTTTTGATTGGCTACATAATGCAAAGTGTGGCTTCTCTCCTCCCAGGTGTAGGAGGGAGCCAGGGCAGAGAGCTGACCTACAGCCCTGCACTTCTAGACTCATCCTGTGCACCGCTTGTCTCCTTCCCCTCCTGAGCAAATGTGCACAAGGTCAGCCTGATGAGAGCTTGGGGTGCCGGTCTCGCCTGGGTTAGGAGAATGTAAACTTAGTTTTGAAGGGAACTCTGCCTCTGCCCCAACCCTAACCAGTTTCTGTGCTCCTCAGGCCTGAGGCCTCACCCAGCGTGGAGAGGAAGGAGCCTCTACACTTAATTCTTAGAGGTTTTGTCTTTCCTACGACTAAGTCCTTTCTGGCTGCAGGTTCGAGAGGACACGTTCCCAAGTGGGCTGGCCTCAGAGAGCTGTCCCTTCCGCTGACCTGAGGTGGCCCATCTCTACCACCTGCCAGGCCCCAGCAGCACGTCCCCTCACCCCCTTGGCAAACACTAAGGATTGCCAGGCAGCCTGCACCTGGCCACTCTGTGGTCTGACTACCACTGCCTATCATCATCCCTGCCCTCGACACATTGGTCGAGATGTCAGGTCCTGGCAGATAGGGTGGCAGAGCTTCAGCCTCCTCACGTTCAGGGCTCTGAGAAGTGCTACCTCCATCCAAAGGCCCACCCCAAATCATGTGCCGAAAGTCGGCAGGCACCTGCTGGGAGCCTGACAGCGGCAGGGCGGCAGGCCATGCGGAGCCCCCGGCAGGCTGGGTTCTGACCCTCCTGGAGCCACGGCATTTACCTCTGCATCAGCTCTAAGCAGCCAAGCGTGTCCAGCACGAGCCTCGACTCGACATGCTCGCCCAGCCCCTACCCAGCTTTCATTTGCAAGAGAGCAGCCCAGGGCCCGCTGTGAGTCCATCTCGCTGAAGCCCACCCACGAGGCCCTTACTCAAAGGTATTTTAGCTGGATTGTGTGTAAATGACATTGCCTTTGGGTAAAGGTGTATGGTCCTGGTTAGTCCCAAGTTCTGTTACCTTTATTGAAAGGTGCTTTTTGCTATTAACCTGATTTATCTGAGCCTGTAAGTAACAAAACTGCACCTATTTAATGCTGTGGTGTCTGAGACATTTGTGGGTTCCAGTGGACGGCCTCTCCTCTTCCCAGCTGCCATGCCTCACCAGCACACGCTGCAAGGGAGGGAGCTTGCTGTGCTCAACTGCACTTGTAGTTAGGACTTTGTGGGGATTGGCTGGGATAAGAAGTAGGAAGCATTCCACCTCTTATAAGTCTAGGTTTTACTCTCAAGCTGAATGAAAGGAGAGCAGGAAGGGAGGGTTAAAGGTAAAAATGCTTCCGGGTCTGAAAGATATTTCTGCGCAAGCTGCTTGCAACTGTTTGGGCTTATCTTAAAGCGTGGGAGAGGCCCAGAGCCGAGGGATGATGCAGCGGCATGGGTGACGGATGGACCCAGGCGTGTGTTCCAAAGCTGTGACTTTAACTCTCATAGATTCTGCACTGGTAACTGTGATGAGAAGGACTTCAGGTCCCTGTTGCTATGGTTTCCTGAAATAACCTCATCTCCCAGGAGGACATTCACCCTTCCTCTGTTCTGGAGGCACTGACTGCTGGGGATGAGGAGAGGAAGAGCAGGGCTCGAATGGAGCGTATCCTCCCTGCGGGGACCAGGCTGGCTGTGCCAAGGACAAGGGGTTCACTTACAGCCAGCAGGAAAGGTCTCCCCAGTTAGGATTGACAAGAGCTCTGTGGCTTCAGCAGGCTGAGGGGGCAGACTAGGAACCCTGAAGTTTCATCCTGGCTGTGGGGCTCCCCTCACCTCTGGTCAGGTTCTTCCCGGAGACGCCGAGGCCGACAGTGGTGGCGGATGGGCTCCCAGCCCCGCTCCAGAGGAAAGGAGACAAGGCTTGCAGGTCCCGGTTCCCGCCCAGCCCATGCAGCCGGAGCTGGGGAGACTTTATTCATTCAGTGGGAGGGTGAGGACAGGAATGAGACAAGGCGTAAAAGTGGACGGGGAGGCGCAATACTGATATGAGAAGAGGAAGGACAAAACTAGTACAACACGCAGCGCAACACAAACTCAAGGGAAAAGGTCGGCCGCCATCTCCGGGCCTGGGCCACGCACACCCGGTTTCCTCTCGTCAGATCTGATGGAAGAGTGCAGCTGGGGCACTGGAGCACCAAGACGGGTGAGAAGGTCAATACTGACAGGCCTGCAGCTAGCACCACGGCGGCCCCGCCGGCCTGGGCAGCCCTCCCCGCTCCAGGCCCACACTCCTCCCCACACTCCTCGAGGACCTCCCTGTTTCTCACTGGGAGCAAGGGAAGTGGGGCTGTGACCACCACGGAGCTGACCACACAATCAATAGGCCGGCCCAGCTCTCACCTCCCTGCGCTCTGGGGCCAGAGGGTGGGCCGGGGATGCCCTGTGGCTAAGCCAGAAAACCACCCAGACAAGAGGCCAGGCGCACACAGGCCTCTGGGAAGGCTACTGACCTGAATCAGACCCATCCCCGAGCCAGGAAGTCAGGTCCCAGCTGGGAGGGGTGGGGTGTGAGATGACAGGGCCAAAAGCAGACACGGCTCCTCTGGGCTCTGCTCCTCAGCCCCCTGGCCCTAGGCTTCACCAGTGTACCCGGGCTGGGGCTACTGCGCTCCCCACTTAGCCAGGCCTGGGAAGGATGGGGTGGCTGGTGTGATGGGTGAGGGTGACTATGTGTTGAGGCCATGGGAGGGAGAGGACTGGCAGTTAGGGGGTGGGCAGGCTCTCTCAACCCAGTTTCCTGGCACCAAGCACAAGGAGCCAGGCTTGGGGAGCAATCACCCCCCACCCCACCTGACCCACCTTCATCCAGCAGCTCTTTCTGACCTCACCTTGACCCCTCAGCCAGCAGCCCACACCCCAGGGGCAGAGGAGCCCACACTGAGAGCTGGAAGGCAGTCCTGAGTCAGGGGGAGCCAGGCTGCTGGTCCTCACAGGAAGTGAGATGAGGTGATACTGAGGATGGTGACTAAGGCCTCAAAGTCCCTGCCTCTGCCTCCCCAGAAACTGCAGCCAGGCCAGCCCCAGGAAGCAGAGCCTGTGTAAACACGCCCGGAGGGAGGAGGGGTTGCTACATATGAGAGTTAAAAATAAATTAAAAGCACCACTGTATCCACATCCCCTGTATCCCTGATGGTCTCCACAGGCCCCAGGTCTCAGCCAGAAGGGGGCGTGCTGGGGATTGTCAGCTAGAATGATCAGACAGCAGTTGGGGTAGGGACTTCATTCTGCTTCCTTCTTCCCAGAGGGCTCTGTAGTGGAACCTGTGGGTTGGAGCATCCTTCTAGGCTTCTGTGCTGGAAGCAGCTTCCCTGTTTTCCTGACCCAAGCTTCCAGCTCCCAGCCCCCTCTTGTGTGTCTCAAGCCCTGTGGTCCACTGGGGCAGGTGGGGCCACTTCTCTGCTGAGCGGCCTGCACGAGGCACTCACACCCAGACCCAGAAATGGCCTTGTTTTCAGCCTCATGCCTCCCGAGTGAGTCATCTCCGTCTCAGGTGAATGTGGCAACATTAGGACCACCACCCCACTCCCTGAGAGCTGGGATGGGACGGTGAGTCAGGGGTCACAGTGGCCTCGACTTGCTCTGGCTGAGGTGTAACCAGGGGGCAGGGGGCAGGTTAAGTACCTCGCCAGGGACCAGTGATCCATGAGGAACCCCAGGGACTGACCAGCTGGCTTTCCTGCTGGGCCTGGCTCTGGGCTAAGAGCTGCTGGTTTGAAGAGCTGCCAGCCCCTGTGCCACTCCTGATGGACGCTCCCATTAGCAAAGACCTGTCTCCCTCCCTTCTTCTTTCTTTGCTTCCGGAGCAGGTTGAGAACTGCACTCCCGCTACTCCCCTCCACCCCCTCTGGTGACACAGCAGCCATGGAGTCTCTGGTGAGTGACTGGTCTGCAGGGAGAGTGAGGAACATGGGACGCTGCCCACTCCGGAGCCTCAGCAGCGAGGCCCCTGCCCTGGCCTGGCCAGCCCTGGGGAGCCTAGGACTTTCACATTTCCCTCCTCAAAGCACGTCCGTGCACTCCTTCCCAGCACAAGCTCTCCACTTCAGAGATTACAAATAGGCATTCTCCTTCATGTTGGCTTTTAAAATTCCCCGAACTGATTGCCAACATTTAACAATCAGAATATTTCACATAAAAATTCAGAGTTCTGGCCTCTGAAAATCTCAGAAAATCTGGCAATGCAGGGCCTGCACTCTGAGAACTGAGCAGCAGTGGCTGCTTTAATGGGGCCTATGCCCTCTTTAGTTTGCCACAGTCCCCACCCAGCCCTGCAGTCCTCCTTTTCATCACCTGCCTGGCCCTGTGAGGTTGTCTGAGTTTACAACTCTGTTCTGGTCCTCCCTTTTCCAGGCTCCCAGCCCCTCTGCAGCCTTATGACAGCTGCCCCTGGCTGAATCAGAGCCTCTCAGTTA